CGAAATCAAAGATGAGGAAGATGTTGATGATATGCGAACAGCTAAAGATATCGAAAATATGAGAAGGTGAAGCGAACAAGAAAAGCAAAGAATTCTTAAAAATTTAACGATAACGGACCTTTACCGGGAAATAGGACGAAAAAGATCGCTTCATAAGAAAGAAATTATTAATTGCGATAGTTGTCAACAAAAAACTAATCAGTGGGAGTTTAATGACTTAGAACAACAACTTTGCTCTAATTGCCAAGAAAAAGAAAACCAGTGATTAGAGCCTTATCAAAATGAAAAATATCTCACCAAAAAGGAAAAGAAAGGATGTTATAACTGATGTGCTGACGATTGCCCACAACAAGTCAGACCTGAAAAAAAAGCAAAATGAAAAAAAATGATTTGTAATGTTTGCCAAAAAGGGTTTGACCCTGCTACCGATAAAAACATAAGTTATTATTGTAGGGAAAGAGCAGCTAAGTTATATCTCACTTGCGATAATTGCCAAAAGAAAGGTTTTGAAAGTGAGGACATTAAGTACGGAAAATCTCAAAGTTAAGTAAAATTAGCGGATTGGGACCTAGTTTTAGGTTTAGAAAAATAAAGAAATTAGCTTACGAACAGGATTGTTATATTATGAACGTTTTGGAAAAAATCTCACCAAATAAATTAAAAGAGTGTTACTTTATTTTTTGCTAGCAGAAAAGTTTAGCGAATGAAAAGATAAGAAGCGAACTTTGACTGACGAAAATATAAAGGGTTTGCAGTATACAATACTACTGTATAAAATGAACGCTAACCGGACACGGAGCAAAAAAGCCTAAGCAGCACAGGGCTCGGAGACCCCATTTTGGGGAATGTAGCACACATTATTATATAAAATTTTACTGGTTTGCTATTATGCAGTCATTGCCATCTTTCGCAATTCTTTGCGTTCCATGAGCGTTTTCAAATTCTTTAATTTCGACTCGGTTATTTCGTCACAAATTTCTTCTAGCATGTTTCATTCCTCTTCGTTCCAGCCGAATTCTCGCATTAACTCTTTTTTCTTGTAATAAGCAAGTTCTTTTTTTAATTTTTCATTTTCAGTTTTTAAGGTTTCTTCATTCATATAATACATTTTTTTAACACCTATAGCATATATAAATTAGCTTCCTTATTTCTAAAAATAGGTATTTAAGTAAACTGAAGCAAATCCGATTTAATTAATTCTTGAAAATCAGAATTCATATCTCTCCAATCTACTAATTCTACTACAAAAGGCAGATCTGATTCTTCAATTTCTTTGATAATTTGGTAAAAGATGTCAGAAGGAATGTCTTCTTGATAACATAAATCTAGATCAGAGTATTTTCTAGCAGTTCCTTTCACGCGAGAGCCATAAGCATAAAAAGTATAAGGATATTTGTTAAGGATTTGTTGAAGAACATGATAATCTGGTTTATCTAGCTGGAGATTTGGCATAATTATTTTTCAAGATTTTTTAAATTTTCGATTAAAGAGTCAAGATCACGAATAAAATGAGGTAAAATTGGGTAAACTTTTTCTCTTATTTGTTCTTCATACTCATGAACAGTAATGTTTCTCTTTTTCACGTAGTCAAAT